CACTACTATGAGTAATATTACAATGATCACCCTTGTGTTCCGGGAGTACTTTTGCAGGCTGCAGACCCAGATGTGGAATTACTGGGGACAGTTATAGTGACGTTTTGAAAAGGAAACTCAGAAAGAGCTGAATTCTAGGCTTGACACTGCCACTTCTAATCTATGTTACTCTGAGTATGTCACATCAGCTCCCTCAGATTCAATTTCATTTGTAAGAGAAAGAAAAATCTCAGTGTGGTTCATAGGATTGTTGTGAAAATAAAATGACAAAATTAAAGCATTGTGGTTGATCAATATTAAGCTTCAGCTTAGTTTTAGTAGGATAAGAATATTTTCTGAGCCCCTTCATAATTTGCTAAATCTCATTAGATGACCTGCCAATTTTTAGTGTGCAGCTGGCATGTTCCTCTTCCGAATATAGAATGAGGAACCAAGTAGAAGAATATTACAGAAATCAAATAGACAATCAATGCATTCTGTGGAAATAGGTCTTGTTCTTTGAAAAAATGAATTCAGGATCCCAGTTTTGGTCACCCTTAGAAAAACATGAAAGTGATCCATAAAAATCTCCAAAAAAGAAAATATGTTCTAGAATCCTTTAAGGTTATAGGCAGAGAATCCCACAAGATCTTTATAATCACAACGGTCAATATAAAATACCTTTAACTAGTAAGGAAAGCACTTATGGAACTAAATCTTGTTATTAGTTGACCTGAGTTTGTATTCTGCTTCACCACTGACTGATCTGTGAGCAAGTGATAAGCTCTCAGACTTTGGTGAGGTTTTTTGTTCTGTTTTAGTTTTTTATTTGTTTGCAAGATGGAGATAAAAATAAAGTATTTTAAGGATTATATGAGTACTGCATGTGGAAAAAGCCCAGTAGAGATCCTTGCAAACTGAGATATTCAATAAACGTAATTCATGGAAAGGGAGGAAGAAGAAAACTAGTGGAAATGACATTCCAAGGAAGGAATGGCTCTGAGCCCTTGAACCAAGAACCTCTGCATTCCTCACCTGCAAAAAGAAGGAATTGGATTAGACCATCTCTAAGGCCCTTTCCTTTAAACAATTACATGTATAAAGCGCTTACTGTATATCAAGTATTGTTCTAATTGCCTTATATTTAGATTCACTTGATCTTCACAGCAAACCTATGAGGCAGGTACTGCTATTATCATTACCATTTTACAGATGAGGAAACTAAGGGACAGCAAGGTTAGGGTGATTTGCCCAAGGTCACAAAGCCAGTGAGGGACAGAGGCAGGGCTTTGAGCCTAGGTTGTCTAGCTCCAGAGCTCATGTTCTTAACTTTCATTCTGTGATTCTCTGACATCCTCAAACATTTAAGTTATTTGCTTTGTGTTGATATTTGAAGGAACTTTCTTTTCTAATAGTTTCTTTCCACGTTTTATTTTAATGCTTATTGGTGTGTAGATTTATTTAGAGGGCTTTTTTTTTACAAAAAGTTAATACAAATTAGAACTTATATTTGGTATCTACTTCTGTGCAACAAATTACCCACAAACTTTGTAGCTCTAAACAACAAGCATTTATTATCTCACATAATTTCTGAACATCAGAGATTCAAGAGCAGCTTAGCTGTGCGGTTCTGGGTCAGGGTCTCTCATGAGCTTGTAGCCCAGTTGTTGGCCGGGGCTGCCGTCATCTGAGGCAGTTGAGAATCTGCTTCCGAGTTCACTCATATAGCTGTTAATAGGAGATTTCATTTCTTTACCACATGGCCTCTCCTTAAGACTGCTCATATAAGTTAGCAGCTGGTGCCCTAGACTGAAAAATGAGAGAGAGAGAGAGAGAGAATCCAAGACAGAAAGAAGCTGAAGTCTTCTGTCCAAGCTACTCTCTTAATCTTAGAGGTGACCTTCCATTATTACTCCTGCCATATTCTATTTGCTAGTTACCAAATCCAGCCCAAACTCAAGAGGTGGGCAATTAAGTTCCGTCTTTCAAGGGGAGGAATATCAAAGAATGTATGAATATATCTTTAAAACCACAATCAGTACAAACAAAAATATAACAAAGAGTGGTGTACTCATTGCCCTAAATTGGCAATTTTCATATTATCACCTTATCATATTTTTATTAAGAACATTTTCACTAAAAAAATTAGAAATAAAATCTTTTTGTTCCCACACCCAGCCCCAATCCCTTTCCTACTCCCCAGAGACAACTATAAGATTATGTGGCATGTATTGTCAGTCTCTTTTATTCTTTTATGTTCATGTAAGTATAGTGAAAACAGTGTATGGCATTGTTTTGTGGGTTTTTTAATTTTTCACAAAAGGTATCATCCTTACATATTTCAGTTCACTTTTTTCACTCAGTGTTGTTTTTGAGATTTATGTATGCTGACATATTTAGACCTAGTTCACTATTACGTTTTACAAACAGATCACTTTCAATTCATCTAAGGATGGAGTTTGCTCCCTAAATTATAAATCACGGTTATAATCAATGCTGTAAGGAAAAGCTTTATGCATGTTTTCTTATGCATATGTGGAAATCTCTCTAGATCAGTGAGTGTTTCCACATAGTGTGCTCCATCCCACAATGAGAAATTTCTTATTGTGACTGGTTCATGTCTCATTGTGAGCAGTTACATATATGTAATTGAAAGTTTCATGAGAAACAATACTTATTCTTTCTATGAAGAATAACCTCTGATATTACCTATTTTTAATCTTTGTTCTTTAAAATTAGTAGCTTTTAGCCACTAAATTGAATTCTGGACTATGGGGTTCCATCAGCAGTTTGAAAGACAACCTTCTAGGCTAATATCCAACTCTTATGGCATACACAGTTTATGACCATTTAAACTTTACAAGACATTGCAAACTTGCCCTTCTTAGCAGTTGTACCAATTTGCACTACCCCAGCAGCATATTGAGAGTTCCTTTTTGTCCATATTGACACCCACACTCAATATTGTCATGTTTTTCATTTGCCAGTCTCATTATTGGGTCTCATTTAAGGGTTGGATGAAAGCAGGCCTGTATAAATGTAACATTTCTTTTATTTGGGAGGCACAGGTGAAATGGGAGATTTCTCCAATTATTGTCTTCATGGCTGCTATGTGCCATTCCTGAGTCTCTTGGAAAATGTAATAAAGAAAGAACAGAAGCATTATGGAGGCATTCCTCAGAGGAATCACAGTAATCTCTGGAACAGAGCTAGACCCACCTGCCATGGCTCCCTCCAATTTTACATCTCCAATCCATTTACCACTTTTCCCAAGCCTTCCACTCTAATCTTTAGCAGCATTTCTCCTACTGTGCAGAGAACATGAGCCCATTACAATAACACTCTGCTATATCCTATGCTTCACCTATAAAGTTACCAATACCTGCTTCCATTCCATCCCATCCCAGAGCAAGTGGTAACCTTCTTCCTTCTTCCTGCCCGAGGCTAATTCTTTCACCCCAGCATTGAGATCAACCCCATCCCATCCTCTGAGGGCTCTTGATTCATAAATGATGCTCCCTTTTGCCTCTCTTTTCAACTCCTCCCCCCACCTCATCCTTCCTTTGAGCACAGCAGCAAGCTCAAGTCTCCCCTTCCTGAATAAGGTCTGCTCTCAAGTCCTTGCTCCTCTCTGTCTGACCTACACTTACATCCTCAGGACTAAACATCTTCAGAGAAGCACTTCCTTTCATTCATAGCACCTATCCTTTACCTTCATAGCATTTACCAAAGGATGTGTTAAAATGCTTATTTGTGGGTCTGCCTAATCTAACATGCAGTCAGTTCCAAGGGGTCAGGAACCTTGTCTCCCTATCACCTCACAGAATAGGCACTAAGGGATTATTTTTTAAGAAAAAACGAATGATTTCCTAGTCTGCAGTCTCACTCTTCCACTCACCATCTTACACCACATGAATATTTCAAAATGAAAAGCCTGCAACACCCTGCCCCACATGAAAAAATGCAATTGGCTTCTCAGCCTGTGAAGGCCACTCTCCCGAGCACAGCTTGAAACAGTTCTGTGAAAACAACTCTCTCCTCCCCAGAAGACAAAATAAATGCCACCTCTTCAACAGAGGAAGCAGAAGAGGAACACTTAAATCAGCTAATATTATTAGGTGACAGCCCTAATAAAAGGAGTTGTGGAGGAAGGATATAGAAACCATAGAAAAAGATTATATAATTATTTATAGATTTCATCCTGCAGTTTTTTTGTTTTTTCCTTCCATTTCTCTTTCATGAGAAAACTTTTGCCTATCGATTCAAATGGAAGGGAATCTAACATTTCCCTGAGCACTGATGATATTCCAGGCATTAGACTAAATGCTTTATTTACTTAATCTTGGTTAATGTAATTCTCTTCAAAACCCAGAGTATGTATCGTCTACTCTTTCAAAACTAAAATGACCAAGGCCAAAATATCAAAAACACCAAGAAAAATGAAATATTTTGGTGATTTCCACATTACAGGAAAATGCAAGAGGCCTGTACAATATATATGTTTTTTATTAGTTGACATTAGGTCATGAGTCATCTCTGGCATATGTGATAGTCTTATTGAAAGAATATAGTAAGTTATCCTCCATTTGCCCCATGGTCCCAAGCACATAAGTTGGTGAGAATTATGCCTGGGCTTGCCTGGGGCTTGACTGGGTTTACCCCGCCTTATCTCTAAACATCCCGACCCTCCCTCAAAGCAACAGGCCAAGCGGATCCACCACAATAAAAAGGCACAACGCTCTGCACCACGCTGCTGCTCTCTCTTTGTCTCTGTCTCTCTGTCCCCCTGCTCTCCCTGCCCTCACTCTCTCTCTCTCTCTCTCTCTCTCTCTCTCTCTCTCTCTCTCTCTCTCTCCCCCCACCCCCTCTGGGACAGCCACTCTCTCTTTCAGATAATAAAATCTCTTGTGTGGCCCCATGTCTCCTGAGTCATTCTGGGTAAGGAGGGTCGTGCTGAGATACCCTTTCATTGGTGCCATGACTCAGATGAGGCTCTCCCATTGACTTTGCTCTTCCTTCAGAAACCTGAGCTGCTCTGGAAACCCTCACTGCCCGATCCTCCTCCACAGGCTCACCGTCCATTTCCCCGGTCCCTCGTCTTCTTGCCCAACACCGGCCTTCAATTTGGTGAGTCTCCCCTTCATGGTCAACTTAAATGTCCCTTTGGAACCTGGGAAGAGACCGTTGAGTGTCTGGCACCCCCAAGGGCTCCTCCGGGACAGGGGCACCCCCAACCACAACTTTCAGAGTCACGGTTGATCCCCATAGTCGACCCTTCTCTGCCTCCCCATGGTGAGAATCCTCATAGACTGAGGCACGGTCTCCCTTTATCTACGTTTCTACTCTACTCATAACTCCTGGTACCAGGTACCAAGCCTCCCTGGTGTTTTTGCCTTGACCCCGCAGTTAGAGGTGGTGATGACCCCCTAACTGTGCCTGGTCTTCTCCGTGACCTTCTCAATCGCTCAGGGACACCTCAGCAACTTCTGAATGGTCTTGTTCTCACCATGGGATCTGGCCCCTCCATTCCCAGTTTCACCACTAGGGTGCTTACTCAATAATATAAAGCCCCTCCACCTCACTCCAGACTTCAAACCTGCTTGCTACTGTAATGAGATCTGGCCACAATATCCCTTGGACAATCAGTCTAAATGGCCCCCAAATGGCTCTTTAGATCCTAAAATTCTCCGTGACTTATACAACTTATGTGAGCGTACGGGCAAATGGAAAGAGATCCCATATATCCAGGATTTCTCCTACCTCCGAACCAAGCTCTCTCTCTGTCTCCCCTGCAATCCTAAACACCTATTACTTGCCTTAAAGTCCACACCCCTAAGCTTTTTTCACGTTCCCAAATATCCTCAACTGCCTATAAACCCCTAGACAATGTACCATCACGGGTTCTCTTGTCCCCTCCTGGCTCATGCCAGGAGCTCTGTCTGTCCTCTCACTGTATCATTATGTCTCAATCTGTATGTTTGTGTGTCTAAGTGTGTAAATGAAAAATATTTTTCTACCTCCAGATGGTATTAATAAAAATTGATTTAAAGACAAGCGCTTGTAAAAATTGGGCATTCTAAAATTTCCAGAAAATTCTAATAGAAGGTATTAAGCATTAATGGTACTTTAAGTTGAACTGAATAGACATGTCCTTATGGTTATCAGCTGCCTAAGTTTACCTGAAGTCATTTAAGTTGATGGTATCTGTTAAATCTTTCAAAGAAAAATGCTTAAAGTGTAGCTTTGTCTAATGTGAGTAACTATTTAAGCAAGTGCCTTAAAACTTTTAACAGCTTCCCAAAATCAAATTCAAAAAGGTGCTTTTTACCTCTAGTTCACTGTGATAATTTCCAGAGGGCCCCTGGAACATGTCAGAGGAATTTCTCGTTGAGGAAAATATTTGGCTAATTTGGCTTATTTACCTGCTTAATTACTTAGAAGGCACTGTCACAGGGAATGATGCTAAAATTTGTTACTGAATGTTTTGTGTTACAGAAATATCCAAATTTCCTTATGACAACTGTCTTACAGTAAGCTCTCATCAGATCTTTAACCATTGTCATTTGTAAGTCTTTTGTCATCTATAGTCACTGTTTTATTACTCCTAAACTAGTAAAAAACTAGATTTCAGAAGAACAGGTATTAGTTACATAGGATTAAGTAAACTAAGGAAGATGATTTTGTGGCTTTTTGTTTCAAATGTTGATAAAGTGTTTTAAGCTTTTTCTCTTAAGCTGACAACAGTTTAATAAATGACTGCCTTGATAAGCAGAATTGAAACTTTATCTTTCTCTCTACCTGATCCCTCCAGAATTTAAAAACTCTCAGTGACTATTTTTATATCTCATGGCAGTATGTTTATTTGCACAAGTTCAATAAGAATCTGCTTTCCTTGTAAGAGGACCAATTAAAAACACTGGTTATATTACCAAGGCTTTTACTGGAATATCATACCTGAGAGACACGTGTGTAAACTCAGATATGAACAGACAGCTTTAAGAAACTAAGATAGACTTTATAAAGCCAACAAAGCCCCTTAGAAGAACTGGCCTGGTACCTTGCTTGCAGAGTTCCCAGCAGCCTTACCAGGTGAGTAAGGAAGGTCACTTCCTGGCAAGTGCAGGAACCTCAGGAATGTCTTAGGAACCTCAAGAAGAGAGGAATTCACCCAAATCTACAGGTACTGCAGGCACAACCTGATGGCAAGTCTGGCTTAGCTTTCTGGCCTCAAGAAGCCCTTAAAAGTTCAATCTGAAATTCCTTACAAAAAGTTCCAGCAAAGCACATTTAAAAGATCCCATGTAATCAATTACTCTTCTTGCTGCACTTATGCAAATAATCAAGCCAACTATTAATTATTTTCTTAATCTGGCTACTTCTAATAAAAATGAGGGTGATTTTAGAGAAAAATATTGTTTCAATAATGCAGTCTTATCTATACTAAATCCTTATACGAGTCATTGAGATGTAAACTTGACCCAGAATTCTAGTTTCCCTATGATACCTGGCTATGATTCTCAGTTAGACTCTTCATATTTCTAGTTCTCATAATCATCCATGCATTCTTAATCTCATCAAGTTTGTCCTTCCAGAATGGAAAATCCAACTCCAGATGTTGCTACATAACCTAATAACAAATTGTTCTTTCTTGCCTAGAAGCCACAAAACTGCAAATAGTAATAGAAATGAAACCCAGAATAGAAGCGCCAACCTTCCGAGGCCCTCTCAACTGACCAGTGATGGAGACCTAGCTGCACCGTTTACTGAGCCCTCTTCTCAGCATGAAGCAGCCAGAGCGGTCATCGCCCCCTTTCCGTAGCAGCAGCTAGAGTCTTTATCTGTAGAGGGGAGAATGAGACAGGGACCATAGGCTTAGAATAAGGTGAGAGCCTGTGGAGAAAGCAAGGCAGGATATTTGCAGTCAGAGTAATGTAAAACTACATGCTAGGAAACCTCCCCCCCACTAAAACTATGTTGAACATTAAGCTCTAGAATCATTCTTCAGTGAGATCAGTTAATGTTCCCCAGGTAAAGAAGAGTAGTACATGTTTTATTATGCTAATCATTTGTAATCGTGTAAAAGATTCACTTTAGCATGCTAAAAGGCCCAAGCCTATTGAGTTGTCTTTCCTCCTTCAGATCTGATGAGGTTATTTTGCAAACTGAGCAACTAACTTAGCATGCAGACCCAGCTGTAGACAGCATAGTAAAAGGTAGGATTCTTTAGCAAATAGACAATACCTCAGCCCATCTTGGGAGCTGAGCAGGCAGCCTTTTGATATGCTCTCAGACCAAGACGCCTGTATCCCAGAGAAAAATCAAGGCAAGAAATTCCTTATGTTAAGTTAATTTTTAATATTCAGAGAACACTTAACAAGTCCTTCCCCAAGGCTTTAGAGATAGTTCCCACCTTTTTGGGCAGGCTCTAACACAAGACCTCAAATCCCTTACTCTCTCTGAGCTCCACCCTCCTTCAATATGTAGATGATCTCCTCCTGTGCAGTCCTTCCCTGCAAACCTGTCAACAGGATACTATTCTCCTTTCAAACTTTCTCTCAGAACACAGCTATCGAGTTTCACCCTCCAAAGTGCAGCTGTCTGCCACTCAGGTCACATACCTGGGAGTTCAGCTCTCCCTAGTCTACAAAGCCATTACCATAGACAGGAAAAAATTCTCCAAACCATGCCCATTCCAAACACCAAGCAACACCATCCCTAACTCCCAAATGGCAAAGACCATACACAGTAATCCTTTCCACCCCAACTGCAGTTAAACTCCAGGGTCTTCCCCATTGGATACACAACTTCCACCTTAAGCCGTTTGTCTCCCCTTATTCCCCTCCCACCAAATCTCCCACAGGTTCCTACTCCACCCTGATGGGACCTCTTACTCTCCACATTTCTGTGCTGCTCATCTCTGCTTCCACTCATCACTGAAGAAGTTTCTGCCAGCACAGTCCTAAGACCTCCCTTACAACCGCCATGCGTCATGCCTCAGGATTATTAACCCTGGTCTCAACACTTACTCTCTCTCACCAGACCTATCTTCCCAATGCTAGCCCTTTCTTCTCTTTCAGACTGTCCAAAAGATTGCACCATCAAAGATTCCCTTTGCCCTACAGGTTGCTTTGCTGCCTACACATATGTCCCAAAAAATGCTATTAATTCAGCCACCCTATGTAAACATAGCAATCAGCCCAAATGCAAAAAATTTCTAACCAAACCTTTAACCAGTTTATATTATAGGATTACCAACCCCTCTCCAAAGACGATGATCCTTATTGAACCTGGAAAATGCCATCACCACTGCAGACCAAGGGCTCATCTGAGGACCGCCCCCCAATACAAAAATGAACTTCATCGCCCCTAATCAGCAGGAAGCAGTTACTGAAGACTAACCTTCACCCCTTCCCAAATCCTCTACCACTTATAAAACAGAAAAGAGGAATGTAAGAATATAGTAATGTATCCTCCATTTGCCCCATGGTCTCAAGCACATAAGTCAGTGAGAATTATGCCTGGGCTTGCCTGGATTTACCCCGCCTTATCTCTAAGAGCGGATCTTCTACAATAAAAGGCACCACGCTGCTGCCCTCTCTCTGTCTCTCTGCTGCCCTCCCTCTCTCTGTCTCTGTCTGTCTCTCTGCTCTCCCTGTGCTCTCTCTCTCTCTGCTCTCTGTCCTGGGGCTCTCTCTGCTGCTCCCTCTCTCCCTGTCTCTTTCTCTCTCTCTCCCCACCCCCCTCTGGGGCAGCCACTCTCTCTTTCAGATAATAAAATCTCTTGCATGGCCCCGTGTCTCCTTGAGTCATTCTGGGTAAGGAGGGTCGCAGAGAGACACCCTTTCACTTATTGTGCCAATCTTCAACATACACTCCTCTTCCCATCTCCCTTTCTCCCTTCCATCTCTTGTTTTCTTCCTCTCTGCTTTCTCCTCTTTCCTTTTGCCCACTTAATTCCTTTACTTCCTTTTTTTCTTTCATTCTCCCCCTACCTCTTAAGGCTACCAACAGCTTTATTGTTGCCTTTTAGATCCAAGAGGTTACTGACAGCCTTTCTAAGATGAACTGAAGCAAACAAATCCTTTTTTTAAATTCCTGGGCTAGAATTGCAACAAGGTGTAATTATG